ATTTCTGGACTACATATTAATACATGCACTCCAGTCACACTCACCCTTGCTTCCTCATCTAGACTGATTACTTGCACCACCTGGAAGAGACTGATTGCAAGCACTATTTAAGCCACACACTCACCCATTCAGTGAGTCTTGTTTACTGTCAGTAGCACTACAACAAGTTTCCCAGTCTTGTTATCCTGTTTACCGACCTTAGCCTTGTTAGCATCTTTGTCTTTGTCTGCCGCCTGCCTTTTGACCTCTCGCCTGTTCCTGATTACGATTATGGACTGCCTACACATACCCGTTTGCACCTGTATTGACCATTGCTTGCCTGACGAAGAATAAACCTGCTTTTGGATCTTACCCCAGTTGTATGTGTCAGTCCCCGTGATTACATACATATATATATATATATATATATATATATATATATATATATATATATATACACACACACAAAAGTTCTGTCTGGTTCTCGAATCTGATTGGCTGATAGTGGTTAGATATTTAAGTAATATCAGCACCCGTGCCCACATACAGTCAGCAACAAGCAGAAGACGGTCTACAGTTTGACAAATATTACTGTTGTTGGACAACATAATGTGCTTTTGAGGCTTTTTTAGTCGAGAATATAGTTGTTTAAATTGCAACTATGCAGCTTATTTTTTAAGAGTATTGCCCATTTTAAAATATTTACAATTTCTGAGAGACAACTCGACGGCAGCCATAGCCTGCCATACTGAGTAGTAGACCAAAGATGGTTAACGTTTTCATCCACAAAATGGTGAAAGGACTGCATAATAGAATACACCTTAAAAAGACTTAGATAATAAGCCCTTAGAAGATTAAAACAGCGTAACTTCAGTAGGTCAAATTATTATTAAACTGGTAAGTGATATTCCAAGTCGATCTCTCTCTTTTGCATATTGCATTGCAGTTTTTATAATGTTACCTTAAGTAATTGTAACGCATTGAGTGTAAGATATGGGACTCGCACATCAGGTGTTGTGTGTGTTGTGTTGGCAGAAATAAAGATGAAATGCCCGCATCTGTTTAGTGTTTTTCCTTCTCGCAAACACAACAGGAGTCTTGTAGTTATTGCGCTGCTTTTTTTTTCGGGGTTAATTATTGTGATATTGTAACGGTCGCTTAATGTTTGATATGCATTGTATATAAATGTCATGTCCCCTTTAAGAGGACTTCTTCTGTGGTCGTTTTACCTTTGAGATGTAAGCACGCATGCATGGGAGCTCAGTTCAGCTTGCTCTAAAGAAAAGTGTGTGATGGTCGCTCTTCCGCTGTATTATACTTTTATTTTAATAACGTAACATTTTATTTTGTGACATATTTGTATGTAGTCGACAGCACACAAAATGCATGAGAAATGCATAAAGTCCAATAGGAAGAGAAAAATAGTTTGTCTACTTTTTTCATTCCTAAAAGTCTCTGGGTAAACGGTGGGACACCTGGCACCCGTCACAATATACCGACTACAACTGAGAAATACTGTAGACTGTAATAGACTCTAAGAAGATATCTCTGTAGACGGATGTGAGAAAAATCTGCAGTTTTGTCATCACTTTAGACATTACGCTAGAGAATCATTCAAATACTAGCTCTATGATGTTGGTAAAGTAGCAACGGTTTCTGCTTTTCTGACATCAGCTGCAGATGTGAAGGAATGGCGGAAGAAAGTAGTTCCTTGTACAAAAGGGTTTTTAGACTCCTGTTTAATTTTCTTTTTTACATAGATGATTATGCGGTCAAACTGTTGTATAAACGCAATATCACACTCGTAGCAGTGCGATATGGCTGTATATCATTACTGTGGAGACACTAAAACAAATGGCTTGCGGCCTCGTTCCAACGCACACCTCCTACCAGTGCCGATATTCAGCCATATCGCACTACTACTTGTGTGATACTGCTCATATATATACTATATATGTGTTTGTTTGTGTGTGTATTGAAGTGTATTGATATTGAAGTGTGGAACATACCAGCTCTGCTTTATCTCCTTTCTCCCCAGGTTCACCCTTCTGACCCTAGTGACAAAAAACAAGGGGAGAGGGAAGACTCAACTGTATCATTCATTTAACAGAATTCAAAACTGGCATGATGAAATACATTGCTCCTCCCCCAACCCCCTCCCCCCACAACCCCAGTGTACTTTGATGTCTTTTCAACTATGACATCTATTTGCTTGAGGACCACCATTGCGTACCATTGGGCCTGGCAATCCAATATGGCCAGGGGGCCCTGAAACCCCCTTTTCTCCAGTAGGGCCATCTAAACCCTACAGAATGAGGAAAAAATGGGGAAATAGAAAATACAATAGACAGAAAAGTCAATTGGAGAAGTGGATTGGTGAACATCACTTGAAAGCAAGCTCCACGGTCAGGAGACATTTGAAGTCATAGCATCCAACATGGAGGATTAACAATTAGTAGGCTTTCATAAACGCAGTGCTGCCCACCCACAACAAACTTAAAAGAAATTCATCAAGGCACTCAAAATGATTCCACTCATTCAAATATTTACATGCAAATCATTACGGTCGACATTCTGGTTTAATCTGATAAGGGTGTTTACATACTCTAAGGTTATTGGAAAATTCCAAAGTTCTTGTAATCAGAATATCACAAACAAACAAATACACTGAGCTCTGGAAGTACTGGAGATGCATTCTTGTTTTATCCAGTGGACAATTCAGTTTAAATGAATCCACACCTCTTTAATACATGCAAAAATCATCTATTTTACTACAATTTCCAGTTATTTTACAATAACTTGGTTATGGCAATGTGGTTATTATGATGAATATATGAATATTATGATATTTCGATTAATATTAGTGTTATTTAATCATAGGGATAAAGAAAACAAACTCAGGGTGCTTTCACACCTACACTTTTGTTTCGGAACCTGTCTTGTTTGCTCAGTTAGCGCAGTTCATTTGGCATATGTGAAACCAGCAATCGTGCTAGGATCCGTGGCAAATCAATCGTCTCGGGATCGCCTGAATGAGGTGGTCTCGGCTCGACTGAAACGAACTCTGGAGCGGATCGATTGCAGTGAGAAAGCGATACAATCCGAGCGCGGTAATATCACAGTGTTTTATGGATATGTAATAGGCATACGGCTATATGAAGAGAGAATTATGAGTAGGGCGGGAAGTTTCGGGAGTCTTCTGGTTGCCTGAAAATGAGTGATAATCTCTCGGTAATCACGCGTCTCCCCCCTGGTCCTCAAATTCGTCGTGCACCCTTCTCACCCCCTCCCCACCGCATCTCTCCTCGCTATTCAGACACGTCGCACGCACTTTGTCAAACACCACCAAACCACCAACTCTTCTGACAGCTGAGCGGGACTCTGCAAAATAAACCCTGACATGCTGACCAATGTGAGGAGAGTTTACTCGCACGGGACTTGTTTTAGCTCTTTTGGTCCGTTTAGAAACTTTGCAGTGTGGTAGTACTTACAACAATGTAACAATTTTAATCCCTGTTTCGGAACAACTGAATCGATACACAGGTGTGAAAGCACCCTCAAATGTGGTCAGACAGGTTATTTATAATGGCAAAAGCTGGTACAGTCACTCACAGGCGATCCTGAGGGGCCCATGTCTCCCTTGTCTCCTTTTGGCCCAGGGAAACCCATGACTCCTCCTTCTCCTCGTGCTCCCTCTGGTCCAGGAGGGCCGATGGGTCCAGGTTCTCCCGGCTTTCCTCTTGGACCCTAAGTAGCAAAATCAAAATTCAAATGTTGCTGAAATACATCCACCAATGGACTAATGTCAGATTAGTCAGAATATTATTTACCTTTTCTCCATCAACACCTGGGGGACCTGGAAGTCCAACATCACCCTGTAAAAACAACATGAAGTTTTATGAAAAAGTCCAGCATAGACAACAATGACACGGTAAACATCACAAATCATGATATATGCAAACCAGACTTATTGGAAATATGTGTGCAAGGCAATGTTTTAGAAAAACGTGAAATATTAACTAGACAAATCCAAAAGACATTGCTGGCTACATTTTCTACGTTAATGGGCTGTATTTTTTATACGTGCCATTTGCACGTCCTTCTTGTACATATCAGTGAGAAGCTGGGGCTTGTTTGTCATGTATAAATCACCTTGCGATCGACTGACCTACACACTTAGGTCATAGATATTAGGTCATAGATAGGAGGATTACAGTTGTCAAATGTTGATGCTAGGTCTTTCGCTCGATACTGAACTGTTTTTTAAATCCCATATTGATTTTACGTCATATGATTGTGAAGTACTTTGGGTTTATGGCCATACACGATAAATGTGCCATATAGTAAGTAATTAAGTAAGTAATGTGTATTTATTTTGTGTACTGAAAGAAAAAAAAAGCACAAGAAAGAATGACACATTGATAGAGAAACATTTCATCGAAGTGCTTTAACTTAAGACTGTTATTTAAGGTTTTTTTAGTTACAAAAAATTAGAGTAAGCCTACAAGAGGAATTTAAGACGGCGTGGGATCTAAGCGGTATTGGTTTACTAGCGAGCAAGCGCACGACCATGGAGCAGAATGCTTAGCTGAGCGTCACACTGCTTTGCTCTGCTCACGTGCTCTGGCTGCTACAGCTTATCAGTTCAGCATGTTCGCTATGTTAGATAACTCCCCCCTGCTGGCCATGTATTTCTTGTCATTCATTCATTTTCTTGTCGGCTTAGTCCCTTCATTAATCCGGGGTCGCCACAGCGGAATGAACCGCCAACTTATCCAGCACATTTTTACGCAGCGGATGTTCTTCCAGCCATCTCTGGGAAACATTCACACACACACAGACACTCATACACTACGAGCAATTTAGGCTTCCCAATTCACCTGTACCGCACTGTGGGCAAAACCGGAGCACCCGGAGGAAACCCACTGGAACCCAGGGAGAACATGCAAACTTCACACAGAAACGCCAACTGAGCCGAGGTTCGAACCAGCAACCTTCTTGCTGTGAGGCGACAGAACTACCTACTGCGCCACTGCTTCGCCCTATGTATTTCTTGTGTTAGACCATTTTGTGCTGTGCCGCAGTTTACTGCAGTGACGCGTGACATCACTTTATATCACTCACACATTCTCAGTAGCCATAACTGTATTAGCTCACTATTCTACTTGTGATATGATTGAACAAAAATCTTAACAGGATACTTACAAAAAACTTGAAGTGAGTAAATGATAACAGAATTTTTATTTTTGGTAATATTTGGTAATACTTTGGTATATTAGTACCTGATTTACCATATTCACCACACTACTCTAGCATATGTTTTATGCAGCAGATGCACTTCCAGCTAGCAGTGTGCTGGGAAACACCCATACATTCTCTCATTCACACAGACACACTCATAGGCCCCATTAACACTGTCAGGTCTTGATGCCCAATTTCGATTAGTTGCCTTTATCAGATTTTTTTTGCCTGTCCATTTACACCTTCTTTTAATTGTGACACACATCTGATTTATGTGTTTACATTTGCCATACAATTTACGACGTCCCGCATGCGTAAACATGGGTTCTAGCATCTGCGCCACACTAGCCATGATGGAAGAAATTGTCTTGCATTTAGCTCTGCGAAATATGCGATCTTCGCCCAACTTTAACATGATTTTGAGGTGGAGGGAAAGGTCCGTCATCGCAGCTTATCCCTATGGCTCATATATGGTGTCCTCCACCATTTAGAGGAATTTGTAGGTACGAGAGAGATCTCAGGTCTGGTGGGAGCAAATTGTGGCGACTGACCACTTTCCTCCTCCATGTTTCCTGTTGTTGTTGTTGTTTACCGTCTTGTTGTCTCCACACACTCTCTTCCTTCTACGTCATTAAAATGCAGAGAAGCACCACATTGTCGCAAGTTTAATGGCGTACAAAACGAATCGCCTCAGTAAATCCGATCTGCCTGTTTACATTATAGTCACATTGTCACATATCCAATTATATCTGATTTATTTCCACATACTAAGGAGGCCTGAAACCGATCTTGGAATATCTGAGAGCATCTGCTTTTTTCGTGTTTACATGGTCGTAGCAAAGATCTGATCTGTGTCATGTATGAGCAAAAAATCAGAGTTAGGTCACATTTAACTGGCAGTGCAAACAGGGCCATACACTACAGCTAATTCAGATCATCAAATTTACTTATAACAGATGTATTGCACTGTGGGGAGCACCAGGAAGAAACCCACGTGATCAAGGGGAGAACATACCAACTCCACACAGAAATGCCACTGGACTCAGTCAGGAATCCAACCAGCAATCTTCTTGCTGTGAGGTGACTAGCTATTTTAACAGTACATAAAGCAGTGGTGTACAAACTCAGTCCTGGAGAGTTTAGCACCAACCTTAATCCAACACACCTGAACAAGCTAATCGAGCTCTTGCTAGATATACTAGAAACTTTCTGGCAAGTTTGTTAAAGCAAGTTGGAGCTAAACTTAGCAGGACACCGGCCCTCCAGGACCGAGTTTGGAAATCTCTGACATAAAGGAAAGAAAATTTATTTTTCACCTTTAAACCAGGGGTCCCAGGAAGACCAGGAGGCCCAGGAGGTCCAGGCAGACCAGGAGCACCCTAGAATAACATGAATATATGCTTCAATATACACTGATAGAGCTGTTCACTGTTTATCTGTTTATGTAGTCAAACAATTTTTGTATTCAAATATGCATTATTCTCCCCATGCAATAAATGCAATCAAGATTCATGCTTTCAGGATGACACTTACCATTGAACGCACATTACGAATATCCTAAAAACACAACAACATTTAAAAATGAAAACAATTTTCACGATTAAATAAAAAGATGATTCATTCCTATGCATGAAAAGGACATACATTTTCGTTGTTGTTGACTAAAGTTTTTCCTGGCTCCCCAGTTGGCCCTGGAGGACCCTGTTCAGTGATGGAGATACAATCAATTAGGATATACGATTAATGTCTAGTTAATAAACTTGGGATATCATTTTCTCAATCAGTAGCAAACTAGTTTTGCTGATTTTATAGTTTGCACACACTACTCACCCTTGGACCTTCCAGGCCAGGGTCACCCTGCAAAGCAGACAATATAAAATTAAGATATTTTCCCTCAAAGGCATGCTAAATATTCACACCCATCCTTGGTTTGATTAAAACAAATTTTGGTGCTTCTGCCCAGAAATGTGGCATGTGACAAGAACCAACCAATCAGCTTCACACTTTATTTGAATGATACACATTTCATCAATAACATTAGACTAATTACCTCAAGACAAATGCAGAGCACCCAAACACTGGCAGTTTATAATATTTTCCATAAATAAAACTTGTTTTAACCTAAAACTGTATCAGAGCTGCAGGAAGGGTTTATCAGTGGTTCTTTCTTAAAGAGCACTGCTGATGTTAATTTCACATTGAAATCAGTGAAGGAAGCTGAATGCCTTGCATTTTTGACATGGTTCTAGATGTGATTTTTAGATTTTTGAATGGCCCTTTGTATGGATTAAAAATACCGTCCAAATTAAGGGGTTTAAAAAGAAGGGTCTTGGTCGATACCTGACTGAAATATAAATGCAGCACATACCGGACAACATACAACCCTACAACGTGTGTTTTCAACAATGAATCAAAGGCAAAACATGACACAATAGTGAGGTAAACACATGACCTAAAGAGCATTTATTTTAAAATGCATCCCGCTCCCGCCAGGTTTTAGCCAGAACCCGACCGCTCCCGCTTAAATACAGTATTCGCTGTCCCGCTGTCCGACCCGCCCCGTTTTCTACCCGCCACACGGGAGTCGGGAGTGATATTGTTAGACCGCCCACTCCCGTCCAAAATTACACCAATTACCAACCGATCCCGTGCTTTATTCTGAAATTTATTCCCGCGCTGCAAGAAATCAGGTCCTCTACTTGGAGGCCTGCATCCATACATCTCTGCAATGACTCAAATAACTTATTAATAAAGTCATCTGGAATGGCAAATAAAGCGTTCATGCAGGACTCCCAGAGTTCATCAAGATTATTTGGATTCCTCTTCAATGCCTCCTCCTTCATTTTACCCCAGACATGCACAATAATGTTAATGTCCGGTGACTAGGCTAGCAAATCCTGAAGCACCCTGACCTTCTTTGCTTTCAGGAACTTTGAGGTGGAGGCTGAAATATGATAATGAGCGCTATCTTGCTGAAGAATTTGCCCTCTCCTGTGGTTTGTAATGTAATGGGCAACACAAATGTCTTGACACCTCAGGCTGTTGATGCTGTCATACACTCTGCAGATCTCTTGCATGCTCCTATACTGAATGTAACCCCAAACCATGATTTTGTAGGTCTATGTTGGTTCCAAAAGGTCTTCTGCAGTATTTGTGATGATTGGGAAGCAGTTCAACAGATGATTCATCTGAAAAATCTACTTTCTGCCACTTTTCCAAATGATCAACTAGAAGTCAAATTATTATTTGTTGCTCTTACAACTAGGATCGATGGCAAGACTTTTGTCAGTGTATTGGGCCAAATGAACTTATGATCAATCAATTTTAATATCTTAACATTTGTTTTGATAGCGTATGTTTTGCATATTAGAAATAAATGTAGGAATTTACTGTTTTTATCAAGATCAAATTATCAAGACACCAAAGTGTAAATACACCCTAAAATACAGTGTTGAAGTATAACATTTGAGCATTAAAAAGTTAATGGCTCACCTTTATGCCTTGATCACCTTTCTCACCCTAAAAAGAAATAACAAAACTGAATTTCACTTCTAAAGCATATTTACAGTATAACAGTATATATTTTGTTAGACTTGGCATGCTGCAGTTTATCAAGAAAAAACGTCAGATTTAAAGTAGACATGAAAGTACTTATGCTGGGTTCACACTAAATACAGAAATTAAGTATTTACGTGAATAAATAGTACATACAAAGTAGGACTGGGTGATAAAATCGATATTGGTATTCATTGACCAGACACCATTGCCAATATCGCTAATAAAAATGGTTCGGTATGAAGTATGAATCGCAATAGTTAGATTAAATTGTAGCTGCTGAGTGCGCACCTTGGAAGCAATGCCAACAAGCTTAGGGTGTCAGTTAGTAATTTCCAATGGAGGCACGTAGTGCGTGTGCATTTTCCAGGTACACCTAGTTGAAAAACATCTGAACTAACCAAGAACTAACCAATCTGCTTCACACTTTGTATGGAATATACACATTTTAGTAATAACGGCAGACTAATCACCTCAGACAACACAAAGCACAAGCTCGCGCTTGTAACTTCAGGTCAGAATAACAACTTGCGTGAAAATGAGTGCAGTATAGCAGCAGTGAGGAGATTGTAAATGAAAAAGGATGTCGCCAGATTGGCTTTTTGGTTTCTTTTACTGTGCATCCCAGCCACTAGCTCCTCATTTGAAAGATTTTTTTAGCATAGGGCTAATGTAGTCATCCAACTTCACAATTTGTAATGTTGCAGTATGTATTTGAATAATAATGGTTAGTTACTTTACATGAAAGCTCAGATTTGATTATAATAATTTGTTTTGTTATCAGAGTTTTAGGTTAAATGTATCATTATTATTGACACCTTACAGATGTTGATCTACCTTTACCATTGCGCGCATTTTGTAACATTTTATTTATTAATTTTATTAAAGTTTAAGAGCCTCTCTAACATTTGTTCATTTTATTATAAAAAATAGATATTTTGTTTAAATATTTTTGTTTTTGACTATTAAAGCTATTTGTAATGTTGGTAAATTAAAATAAAGTGGTTAAATATGAAATCCTAATATTCCTAATGGTATTGTTAATATATATATATATATATATATATATATATATATATATATATATATATATATATATATATATATATATATATATATATATATATATATATATATATATATATATATATATATATATATATATATATATATATATATATATATATATATATATATATATATATATATATA